TGAGATGGCATGCCTGTGCAGCTGCCAGAGAAAGCCTGAAATCAGCCAGGATGCCCATCAATTGGAGGCAGGAGCTGAGCTTCATCTATCTATTCTGTGGAATATTATGCAGTGGTAAAAGAGTTGTGTGTTATTTTCATTAATTTTTTTAAACTGGGGAAGAACAGAGAGGTGGGTTTTATTTTTCATGCATACTGATTGCTTGTGGGACACAAGAAAGAACAAATAGGGCACATGGAGACTTCTTTCAATTGAAAATAGATTTTTTTCATGCACTGTATGTTGATTATGGTTCCTCTCCCCCAGTTCCTCCCAGATTCTCCCCCCTTTCTCTTTCTCATTAGAAAACAAACAGGCATCTAAAAATAATAAAATAAAATGAGATAAAAAAACAAGTGAACAAGACAAGCAAACAAATGGGGACACTGTCAAAGAAAAAGCATAAGAAACCCATACATATGTTCAGACACATACATTTGTATACACAGAAAACCCATAAAACCAATTTGGAAACCATAATATATGAGCAAAAGATCTGTAAAGGTAAAAACAAAACAAAACAAAACAAAAAACCCAAAACCAAACCCAAACCAACCAGACAAAGCGTTATGAGACGAAAAACCTCCAAAAATACCATTGAGTTGGTTTTGTGTTGGCTATCTGCTGGGCTTGGGACCTGCCCTTAAGTGTGGTTTGTATATACCTGGTGAGACTGTTGGAGAAAACTTGTTTTCAGGAGGAAGACTTTACTGAAATAACTTTAAAATATGTATTAAATTTTAAGCCTGTGTTCTCATCAGAACTAATTATCTACCAGATAACTAGTTATTATCTGGCTAATTATAAGGCTAATTATCTATCAGAAAATGATATGAATTCCTGGGTATACTGGCTCACATCTATATTCCCAGCATTGGAGAAGCTGAGGTAGAAGGGTTGCTATTAGTTCAAAGCCAGCCTGGGCTACACAGTGCATTCTAGACTAGTTTGGGCTGCAGAGTAAGAACTGTTTTTTTTTTTAACCTGAAAATAAATAATAAAATTATATAAATTAAGTTAAAATGCATATGCCCAGGCTCTACACTAGATTTCAGAGAGGCCAAGAATCTTCTTTTTTGAATCAGGGTCTGACTGGCCTGGAACTCTATGTAGAGCAAACTAGCCTTGGCACACACAGCTCTTTCTGCCTCTGCCTCTGTTCTGGGATTATAAGTGTTTACCGCAACACTCAGTAAGATCTTTCATTTTTTTATGTGTTCCACTGGTCACTCTAGCACCAGCTGGGTTCTGGAGCCTTTGTTGTATGGGTAGGCAGAAGGTTTTCCTCTAAAATAGTCTTTGAATTCTTTTGTAACCTGCATTTGAGCATATCTATCAAAGCCTGTTCATTAATTCATTTCCCATCATCTTTCTGTTCCTGATTTTGTGCCATAGAAACCAGTTTGAAGGGAGAGAACTGAACCTCTGTCTGTCATGGGGAAATAAGCCTTGCAAGAGCCTATGGTAGCAGGGCTTAAACAGAGGCTTCTTGTCCTGGCTCTCCATTCTGCCCAAAGCAAAGTCTTGGGAAATCATGATTGGATTAATCTGAGGTAGTAAAACTTAATTCTCTGGGGCTGGAAAGGGGGGCAAAAATTAATTTCCAGGGCCAATGAAAAAGAGAAACACACACACACACACACACACACACACACACACACACCTCCAACATGTCAGGATCTCACCTAGGGTGCTGATGAATGGCAAGCCTTCAGCAGGTCAGAGAAATTGAAGAGGAGATGCAGACCTGACAAACTATTGGCCATGCAAAAAGACACACGAGTACTTTTCTGAGGGCCAAAGCTTAGTTCTTCATTTTACTATTCTTATTGTTGCTTGTTCTACTCTATTTCTCTGATGTTTCCCTTCTGTTTATCTTGATGTCTTCCTTATAGCTTTCCTTCTACATCTTTCCAGGTCTTTTCTTTCTCTCGTGTCTTTATTTTTTCCCTTATAAATCACAATAGAATCTTTCAAGCAATATAAAAATTACAATGTGGTTGTATACTATTTTCAAGTGAATGATTACAATGGATACAAGTAAAAAACAGCATGTTTTCCATATCCCTTACACAATTAAACATTGTCTGTATTACAGGTGAAAATCAAATTATCCCAAGAACCCACATCCATCCATTCCCAAGCAACTTGTTATAGATTAACAGAGTGCAAGCAAGCAAGGTATTCTTCTCAGCCAGTTCTTTTACTGGTAGGGTGCATTTTGCCATTACTAAGAAAGGATCAATCACTTCATTACTTATCTCAAAAGATAATCTTACAAGGAAGCTTAAAAGAATCACAAGTCCAAACTTTTATATATGGAAAAGAACCAGTCAGCCTTATTTCAAATCCTCAGGGTGCATACTCATTCATCAGCAGATTCTTATACCAGGAAACTGAGAGCAGAAATGGGTACAAGGAATTCATAATCATCTTTGATTGATAACCCATTCTAACAAGAAAGGCACGCCAACCAATAATAATTGGGCTGCTTTGTTCTTGTTCTCTGACCTTAATGAGTCCCTCATGAAACTATGTGCCTTTCTAAACTTTAGATTCTTTTCAAGGTTTTTCACCTCAAGGCTATGAACAAAAACATCTTAATCTAACCTTAAGGCTTTGTTTTAGCTGCGATGCACACCAAAACCTGTGGATACATCTCTCAACATTAAGATTAAAAGAGCTTGAGCTAACTTAGCTTCTGGGACTCAATTGTTTTTCTTAATCATTAACCTAAGCCACAGTCTATACAGCTCCTCGAGAGAAACTAGCTGTGTCACATTTCCTTATTCTATTTTTCTTTCCTCTGTAGCCCCTGTTTTATCAGGGGTAGGGGACAATACCCTATCTTCTTCTTACCTATATTAGTTTTCCCACTAAGCTAACCTCTATCATAATCCCTATATCTTTATTAAAGATCCCCAAATCCTATTTTAACTAACACTTATTGTATAAAACCATTGCTTTAGTCAAACAGTACAGCTTAGGAGGAAGTCATCTTCATAATAATCCACAGGTAAAAATGCCCAGTAGAACAGAATATTTACATGAGATAATCACACTACATTAAGTATGGGATCTCCCTATACTCATTCACACTATGTCAGATACCAGAGAGAAATGGCAGTGGCAAGCATGTAAAGACACAGCAGTACCAAGAGACATGCTGGGGCTGAGGCTCTCAGGGGCCTTGCCTATCTGAGATTCACCCATAGGAGTTTTGCTTCCTGGTGGGCCTACTTCCTGAACCTTAACTACCACCTGCTGCTCCTCTGACATGGCCACTGGCAGACTTAGATGAGCAGGACTTCCGTGAGACCTCACCGGGGAACACCTATATTGAGTTTTCCTGGTCTTCTGAATTCATCTTGTTCCAAGTTGTATGGCCACCATGGAGCAGTTCTTCACACTCTGAGGTTGATTTAAATATCTCATTGACTGATTCACTATCAGTCCCATTGCCCAGTGGAGAAGTTTTTCATATTTTGCCTTAGATAGTGGGATTTGAAAATCATTATAGAAAACCACACACACAAACACACACACCACACTCATCCTCATACATGGACACACACACACTCACTTGCACCGCAAATACGTTTTTGCATTCTCAAGGTGAACTAACTGGCGAGTAGCCAAAGCCAGGTGAGAGTCATGTAGGAAGTAGAAAGCAGGAGCTTTGGGGCTCATAACATGTTAGACACAATCTCCATTTGAAAAATGGATAATTTCACAGTCATATTTCCAGTGCATCAAAGACTAAATAAAACAGCAAACACCAAGAATCATAAAAACAAGAAAAAACACCACAATACAATGATAAATATAGTCAATTATCCAAATTGCTGGAAACAAAACAATAATTTATATAAACAAATTCAAAATGTAAAACAGATTATGTTTTTTACTTTTTGAACTCACTGATAGGAATATGGGAATTCTTATCATTAATTTTATATAATGAAATTGCTTATCTTTAATATATCTTGATGATCTTTCAAGCATGAAAATTACCCACTAGACTATTTCTGTGCTCATTATCAAACTTGTTGTTAAGCTGCTGAAACTCTTAGATGTTTTCACCAGGAAAAAACCAGGAGAAAATTAGATTTTTGTTAATAGTGTTATTCTCAAAGATAATAACCCATTAAAAAAACAAGCAAACAAATTCTGGCTCCATTAGAGCCACACGACTGCCTATGACCTCTTGGCGCGAAATGTAAACTAGTTCAGATATGCTTAAGGAACACCAAGCTGCTCAGCTCATTTGGAACTGGAATACAGTTTTGATTGGGTTTGGTTGTTCTTCTGGCCCTTTTGATTCTGAGAACACAGAGGTTACACATAGCATATGGCTGTCAGTACTTGACTTTGACCCATGGGCCAAGATGTAGAGGCCACAGAAAGTTATGCTTTCTGGGTTGGGCTCAGTGTTAATTAGAATTAGTTTCTGTGGTGAGTGACAGAAGCTCCAAAGTGACACTGGCCTACTTCCTATCTCTTAGAGTGGTTAAGGACAGAGGACAAGTGTTTGCAAAGGGGGGCTGTCCTGGCCTCACTGAGAGGTAGGTGGAATGGTGCAGCCACTATAGAGCACTTTCTCCAAAAGTCATATGCAACATTACTGTGTGATACAGCATTTCTGTTTCTTAGAATCCACTCAAAATACTTAAAGTGGTGGTGGCGAACACCTTTAATCCCAGTACTTGGGAGGCAGAGGAAGGAGGATCTCTGTGAGTTTGAAGCCAGCCTGATCTACAAAGTGAGTTTCAGTACCGCCAGGGCTACAAAGAGAGACCCTGTCTCAAACAAACAAACAAACAAACAAACAAAGGAATTGCCTTCTTAAAGAAAAGGGCATGGTATGATCTGAGATTGAACTTTACACTGGTAATGTGACCTATAACTGTGAAAGCCTAGAAGCTGCCTAATTCTTCTTGCCTCTGCGTCCAATTTGCAGATATGAAAATGAGTGTGAGTGTCAATTGGTGCTCAAAGAAATGCTGGAGCGGCTTAACAAGGTGAGTAGAGCCCAGCCTTGGGCTTAAGTAGCTTCCTTACAGCACTGAACTATATGGCAGGAGCAATTGTTTCCCATAACCTTCTCCCCGTTATTTTAGGATTTGTCTATTTCTTGTTGCCATTTTCTTCCTTGACTTCTTAATTTCAACTGAGTGAAGTGATGTACAAATACACCTTATTTGTGCAAAATATGTGGTCTCATGAGAGAAACGTAGTCCACGGAAGCTGATATGTTGTGCTAGGTGTATTAATCTGTTTTCCATTAATATAAGGAAATACCTGAGGATGAGTCTCGTATGTAAAGAAAAGAGAGTTTTTTTATCTCACAGTTCTGAAAGTTGCAAGCATAAACACATGCCACTGGATCTGGTGAAGGGGCCAATGACTGAGTTCACTGATGGTAAAAGGCATCACTGTGGGAGCAGGTGATAGGATGATAGGAAGCCATAGTTGGCGTAGGGGATGTAAGGCCCTCCCACTCTGTCCCACTCCTTGAAGGTCCTATTACTTCTTAACAGCACTGCACTGGGGATCAAGCTCTCAACACACGGACCATAGTTCTAGGCTATCATAATATTCCAGCATTACAATGTCCCACTAATGTTTTATTCTGGATGGAATAATCACAATGACAATGTTTGTTGTGTAAACTGATAGCTCTATTCTATTTGTTAGTAGTCTCGAGGTGGCTGTTGTGAAGCTAAGGACTCAGGGAAGAGAGGAAGAAATGTCCATTTCCCTTGAAGCTCTCTCTCTTTTTAAAGCATGAGAAACAGCCACAGGGGAGGTGCCAGGGCTTCTGGAACATTCCTGCAATGGTTTTATGGAGCGGTTCCTAGTGGGGACAGTTTCCTTCTTTTGATTGTCCATCATCAGCCTGATTGATTCTACTGTAACTGGGAACATTCTTCTGTGAATAGTAGATTCTATTGTGGACAAAAGGGTTGGACAGACACAGGCATGGCTAATAGCCACAAGAACCATCGTTTCTGGTCATGCCAGAGCTCTCGTGTTGGAGTGGAAGGAGCCATAGAGATAACTAGTTGAAAGGTGCTGTTGAGGGCTGCAACCCCTCCCCCCAAGCTCCCATGCTTAGAGCCTCATTATGCTTTCTAATAAGAAACTAAACTTGTCTTGTTTGTTTTGTCAACTTGACACAAGTTAGAGTCGTCTGGGAAGAAGGAATGCCAGTTGAGAAATTGCCCTCACCAGATTGCCTGTAGGCAAGTCTGTAGGGCATTTTCTTGATTACTGATTGGTGTGAGCACCTCTGGGCTGGTGGTCCTGGATGGTATAAGAAAGCAGGCTGAGCAAGCCATGAGGAGCAAACCAGTAAGCAGCACTCCTCCATGACCTCTGCACCAGGTCTGGCCTCCAAGTCCCTGCTTTGAGCTCTTGCCTTGCCTTTATTCAGTGACAGAGAGTGACCTGAGAGTTGTAAGTGGAAATAAATCCTTTCCTCCACACGTTGCTTTTGGTCATGGTGTTATCACAGCAATAGAAACCCTAATTTAGACAAAGCTCCCCCCTCCCCCAGCTCAGATTGGCTTCACAATTCTCTCTGGATAATTGGCAGCCACTTCAGACAGTAGAGGTCACTCAGGGTATTTGCCACTTTCTAGTTGTGTCTAACCTCTGTTGTCAAAGTGGTAACAAAACTGGAACTAAAAATTTGGGAAGCCTAATTTTATCAACCTTAGTCCATTCTCTGTGTGAGCAACTTCTGTGTTGTTCAACTAATGACCCTGGGATAGGGTGCCATTAGTGGGCAGGTCAGCAGTTAGCATTTGGGACTGTCTAAGGCCAAAGACAGGACATGTGAGCATGCTAGACGTAACAGAAAGATGGTGGTAAAGAAGTGCTTCAGCCGAGCTGCAAGGACACAGCTCTAGGCTGGTGGGGAAGCGGGTGTCAGGTGGGGAGTGATGACTCCCAGCCTGTTGTAGTATTGCTGGGAGTTTCTTTTATGAGCACCCAATAGCATCCAGGTGTTCTGCTCACACTTTCAACTCATCCCATTTTTGGCTGTGGTTACAGTTCAGAGTTGCAAGAGCAGGGCCGACTGTCTTCTTCACAGGCCAAGGCTTTCAAGGACACAGATACCTAGCACCCTTCACCTAGGTGACAATTTAGACTCTCTAGAACTTCCCTCACAGCTCCAACACAGTGACATCCTCCTCTTTACCCTTGATGGAAATTGACAGTGGCTTTTCAAATCTTTTGTCATTTCTCTCTTATTACAAAAGCAATTCATATTCTCAGCAGAAAAATAAGACAATACAGAAACTGACCATCAAGGGAAAGATATACCACCATTTCCCACCCAGAGAAAACAGCAGAATGATCTTCATGCATATTGTGATGGAGAGTGTGGGTGCTTGAACTGTCAGCCCCACAAGAATAACCCTCACGACATCGCCACCAAGAGTGTAGGTCAGGGTTAGCATAGGGGATTGATGTAGTTGTCCCCTGGGCCAGGGTAAGACTCTTCCGCCCACAAGTGAGCCGCCCTGTCCAAAAGAGGAGGATAGCCTGTTACTAGAACCCTACCATACTGCTGAGTAGCTGTGAGACTGAGGGTGGATTCATTTACCTCTCTGAGCTTCAACTTCCTTATCTGTGGGAATAATTATAGACACTGGAGTGAGAGAATGTTTCCTTGCCCACTGAGCATGAAATGACTTAGCAATATACATGACTCACCTGTCAAATGGCAGTGCATAGTCTTTGTCTGTGGTGATGGCTGAACATTTGATTTGACAGATGCCAGCTTAGTTTTCTCCTAACTATGAAGTACATAGCCTGATGGAATCAGAGATGACTTTAGCTGGTTCATGGAGGAGTAAATTTTTCATAGTTGTGAATTATATATATGTATATATACATATACATATATATACATATGTGCATGGATGTCTTGCTCTCATGTGTGTCTATGCATGCCATGTGTGGCCTGGTGTTTGCATAGGTTACAAGAGGGAGTTGCATCCCCTAGACCTGGAGTTATCAATGGTTATGAGTTGCCTTGTGGGTGCTGAGAATTGAACTCTGGTCCTCTGTAAGAGCAACAAGTGTTCTTAACTGCTGAGCTCTCTCTCCAGCTTCCGTTATAAATTCTTTTTTAAAAAAGTTTTATTTATGTGTATATGTGTGAGACCATGTGAGAATATGCCAAGTGTGTGCCTTTGGAGTTCAGAAGAGAGCATCAGGTCCCCCTGGAGATGGAGTTACAGATGGATGTGAGCCACAAGACATGGGTGCTGGGAATGATGTTGGGTCCTCTGTAAGAGTAGCAGGTGCTCTCAACTGCTTAGCCATCACTCCTGCTTCCTGGATCATGAATTTTTATGATTGCTTTTTTATTTATAGCATATTACATAAAAAGTCTATTTCAAATGAACCTAAGGAAAAAAATAAACCAATCTAAAGAAAACCCAGAGTGAAATGTAATAGTTCTTGGGTTTAGTGAAGTTGTGTAAACACTGGATTGGGAAAGTCCTTGAATCAGCTTGTGGGAGCCCAAGATCAGCCTCTGGTTACTGATGGGGCAGATTTCATTCCTAGAAAGAAAGCCTCCCAGGGCCTTCTTTCTCCAGTGATGGAACTCACCCATGAGCTTAGGTAGCTTCAGACCTCTTCATGCATGGCAGGCTTAGACTGCAGTGTTTGTATTCATGGCTCACTCTCTACTTCCTAAGAGCAATCAGAGAAACTGAGTCCTTCAGAAGCCAGGCCCAAAGCCAAGTGCTATAGGTTAAAGATGCCTGTAGGTCTATAAAGTGGATCCTTATCCTGGGCCACTCCACCTGTTACCAGATATGCAGGGTACATAGGTTTTCTGCACCACTTGCTGTAGGAACGTGAATCACTCATCCCAGAAGCACTGGGTGTGCACACCCCAGGAAATGAATCTTAGTCATCCAAGATCAGCAGTGGATGGTAAGTTGCCCAGTTCTTCCTCCTCAGTATAGAGAGTTCCACAAGTCTCCAGGGTTTCCAGCAGGATCATGCCTTGTTGTTCACAAAACCTATCTGCCTGTCTACACTTATGGACTTTGCCCCCCTCTTTATATCCCATTGCTTTCTGTCTGTGGACATCATCTGCTGAGAAAGAGGCTGGAAGAGTGGAATCTCATCCTATTGATGGTCAGGAAAGTGATTACATTTTTTCTTTACATTTATTATTTATTTATTTTGTGTGTCCGTGTCCGTGTCCGTGTGTGTGTGTCCGTGTGTGTGTGTCCGTGTGTGTGTGTGTGTGTGTGTGTGTGTGTGTGTCTGTGTGTGTGTGTGTGTCTGTGTGTCTGTGTCTGTGTGTTGTTCACATGTACCATTGCATGTGGTCAGAGGACAACTTGCAGGGGTGGCTTCTCTCCTATCTACCTCATGGGTCCTGGGGATTGAACTCATGTCATCAGCCTTGGAAGCAAGTGTCTTAACCTGCTCAGCCATCTTGCCAGCCTTGGATCAGAGATTTTGCTCAGTGAGTCTGGAGATGTTTGCTTAGTCAAATCAGCTTTTGCCTTTCCACTTAGTCTCAGAGTCAATTACTGTAGGGTCACTTCAGGAGGGATTCACCCTTGGGTGTGACTGTGGGAAAACACTGATTCAGTCTTTTGTGCTTTGTTCACACACCTGTCATATAGACACGTTGCTCATATAATTAGACACCCAGAACAGAACATTTTTGGTTCTCAACAGCATATATGCCAAAGCAAGCCAATTTTTGTTACCCCCTTTGAAGGGAAATAAAACCCTCAACATAACACCTAAACACTATGGCCAGAGTTAATCACATGCTCAGCCTTTTGATGGAGCAAGAACTACAGCTGGCTTTTAAATAGATATTCAAGCTTGTACAACCTCTATAACTCATTGCCACATATATGTACTTAGAAGATTTCTGGCTACCAGTAATTCCCGAGTTTGCTCATAGGCTGAGCTGTCTCAGCTGATATGGCTTTAAAGCTTTACTCTCACCTTTCTTTAAAATGAACAACAATTTCGATTGAGGTAGCTTCTAGGTACCTGTGTTTATTTAAAAACAATGAAAAACATTCAAAGGCTGGCTCACCTGCATGAAATTCATGTCCCTCTGTAGGTCCCTGTGGGAAAGATCAGGGGGCCCTGGGGTCTGGGACAAAAAAGATGGAACACAAAGCAACCACCTTCGGGGTTACTAGCTTCTATGTGTCCAAGAATTCCTCATTCTAGAGAAGAGGAGAGGAGGGGCCTGGGAAGGAGGCATTTGGGAGGAGGCTGGAAGTGTGGAGAGGCTTGCAGGAAAGGAAGAACACAGAGTTCAGGGAGAGAGAGAGAGAGAGAGAGAGAGAGAGAGAGAGAGAGAGAGAGAGAGAGGAGAGAGATGGGAAAATGAGGTCAAGGAGAGAGAGGGCTCTCAGCTACCCAGAGCCTTCTCCAGGCAGATGCAAAGAGCAACTTGCAACAATTTTGGAAAGTTATTATTTTTTTGATATCCAGAGTTGAAGGAAAGGTTTTTTTTTTTTTTTTTTTTTCATTGAAGCCTGGCTTACCAGTGGTTTTAGTGAACTCTGATCTTCATTATTTAGCACCTGGGTTTTGATGGAAGCCTAGAATTTCTGTGAAAAAGTTGTCAAGGATGGTTGTCAGGGGCACTTTGAACTTGAATTGTTTCTCTGGTTCCTTTCTGAAAAATGGCTGTGAAGGCTTGGATGTAGCTGAGTAGCAAAGGTCTTTCATAGTGTGTGTAAAATCTTGGCTTCCGTCCTCAGCACAAATATCCTAGAGCATGCAGACTGGGGGTTCTGGAACATCACTGTGTGTCCTCAGCCCTGGAAGGGGTGTTGGAACCCTTGAGAGATTATTTGCATTTCTAGCTGGCTCTCAGGTACTGTGATCTGTTTTGTGAACCATCTACTCTGTTTCAAGCTCACACAATATCAGGGTTGGATTATTTTCCCAAATTAGACAGTTGACACAGGCAGTTGACTGTGAAAAACCTAGATGCTTCTGTTGTTGCAGCGTTTGGAAATTTAGCTGACAGCATCTCAGGCATAATGAAAACACAAGCGTCTACACATTTCCACACTCTGGCACAGATAAAAGAACATGCTTCCCAAAACAAATTCTCATCATATCAGCAACAGCACGGTCCCAAAGCGCCGACTCACCTCTGGGATTTTTGGGTCAGTTTATTGCATGGTTGTCTCTCAAGAAAGACCTGTGTTTACAGAAGCACCTGATGAAATCCTATTTTAAAGACAAGTGTTGCTTATTTTTTTTTTTGTATCATTGCCACAGGTGGCTTTGAAATATTGCATTATGGGAGTTACTGCTGGTCCTGGCATGATCCCCAGGGGAAGATGTGGAAAGATGATAGGTGTCTGGTAGGATGGGCTCTCTACTTGATATCCCAGAAAAAGCCCAGTCCTGTTAGTTTCTTTCAACAGTGGAGGCCCCCACTGATCAGCCTGGTCTAAGTGCCCTCACAAAGGAAGACTTTAGGCGTTGAACTGCCCTTGCCAGAGCCCTAAGTACCATGGTTGGTTGAAGAGTCATTAAGGGACTGGAGCTGCTGGACAGATGGGCTGTCTGTGGCTTTTTATGATCTGCAGGAGGATGATCCAATGTGCTTAGCATGTATAAGGTCCATCGCTACCCTCATTCCAAGGGGGAAAACCAAACAAGCCTCTTTGCTTTCATCTTATACAGTGGCTTCTGTGGTATACTTTACTTGAAGGAAGGTACTGGTGGCTTTAAAAAATGTGAGCAGACCAATGCTCTCCAAGGTCTCATCCATGTATAAGATGCCGAGTGTTTGATCTCTCTTAGCAATAACACAAAGGACAAGGGGTGCTTGGAATTGCTTTTCTAATTCTCCCTCCGTTCCAGTAATTATGGATCAAATATTTGTTCATTTTTGGAAAACGTGAACATCAATAAGTCTTGTCCATCCCACCCTATCCTTATTGACTGAAAAGGGACAGAGGGAAGCGAGAAAACATCCAAGAAATTGGCTCTGTGTCTTTGTATGACACTCGTTCACATCTGTGAGGGGATAACCCCAGCTCCAGGGTGGTGAGCCACTGCACATCAAACTGCTATTCTTGAAGGAGGTGCGGGTACATCCAGAGTATTAATTCCTGCACAGGCCCCAGTCACCTGCAGAGCCATGAGTAGTCTCCCTGAAGATCCAGCTCTCTAGCATTCTAGATGTAAATTCAGCCCTGGCTGGATCCTGTTATAGATTCAGAATTTCTATATCTTGGCTGTCAGCATCAGGCAATCAGGACTCCTCCTACATCTATGGCCTTTTATAAGAACAGTTAGAGAATGAGGTGACTTTCCAGAGAATATCTGCCAAGGACTTTGCTGGACTACAAGTCAAAGGGGGGGGGGTGTCTCAACAAACCCTGGCATTCACTTAGCTTGGCTATCTTAACTCTCTCACCAGAGAGTAGTCTCTTAAATAGTTTGACTAAACCAATATTCACCTTTATTAATGAGATGCCATTACTAGCATTCATTATGAAAAGCTGTTAAGAGGCCAGTAAAAAAACAAAACAAAACAAAACAAAACAAAAAACAACAAAAAACCATTTGGCAATGTTTCAGATATCAGCAGGTGTGCCTGGGCAGAGTTATCTTGTGGTGGATTTCCAATAAATCTGTGATGTCACCCTGAACACACTGAAGCACTTAAGCCAGTTCCAGATACCAGCACAATCTTTAAGAAACTATTATTGTTTTATTATTATTTTAGAGTATGTGTGTATGTGATGTGACGGTCTCTCTCTCTCTCTCTCTCTCTCTCTCTCTCTCTCTCTCTCTCTCTCTCTCTCTCTCTCTCTCTAGGTTAGAGGACAACTTGGTGGAGTCAGTTCTCTCCTTCCACCTTTATGTAGGTTTAGCTGAAGCTCAAGTTACTGATGGCAAGAAATAGATATCCTGTAAATTTTAAGGTTATTTGGTATGTGGATGTGTTTAAACTCTTGGATTTTTCTAGATAAGGTTCCTAAAGCCTGGCACTGTGGACATTTAGGCTATCATATTCTTTGTTGTGTGAGTGTGGTGGGGAGTTGGGGGGCTGTTTGTTATGGCAGGATACTTATAGCAATCTTCTGGCCTCTACCATTCAAGTACTGACAATAATAAGTATCTCCAGATGTTGTCAAATGCCCCCTTGGATGCAAAATCACCCTGTAATGAGAACTATTGTTCTCAACCAGGTCCAATGACTAGCTTAGTGTTTTATTCAGAATGCAGCATCTAGGGATCAGTGGGGAAAAGCACTTGCTGTGTATAACTGCTGAGCTGAGTAAGATCCCAGGAACCCATGGTGGAAGGAGAGAATCAACTCCTAAAAGTTATCTTCTGACCTCCACACACATTCAAGATGGTGCATGTGCACATACCTCAAACCCAACCCCCCAAAATACAGGGGCGGGGGAGAAGAGAGAGAATATGCAGTGTTCTAGACCCACTGAACAAGACTGTGTTTTGGTAAATCCCCATGTAGTCCCTGTGTTCGAACGCTGGTTCATGGCACACCTGAGTGCTCCTGACCCTGGCATGGCTCTTTTTGTTGCAGGAAGCCGATGAAGCCTTATTGCGTAACCTGCACCTTCAGTTGGAAGCACAGTTTCTGCAGGCAGATATCAGTGTGGCCAAGGACAGGTACAAAAAGGTAACCAGCACATGTGGGAAGAAGGAAGTCCTTTCTTCTAGAAGACCCAGTTTGGGTCCGATTGAACAAGAGCTTGCTAGAGTGAGCAACCTGTGATTACATTCCCCTGAGCTAGCATGTGCCGGCCACTGGACAGCATTTACCCAGCCTGAGGTGTATAGAGAGCATCGGTGGGCAATGCCAAGATATCCAGGGGGTTGTAATGCTAGGTTTTAGTGTCTGCGCTGCACATTGTAATCTACAAAATTATTTAGATAGCTCTATCTCTACCAAGCAGTCAACTGTTTTATCTCAAAAAAATGCAGAAAGGGAGATTTTGTTTTTTAAGGTATTGTGTTACAACTCTTAGCTCTGCCTTAGGGGTAGCCAGCTGACAGCTTTATTTAGGAGCCCCCTATTTCAGAGTGTCCTGATCTTTCCCCTTCTCTATTAGACTCTCACAGGTGAGAGGCTGGGAGCCTTGGCATACTGGAAAATCAAAACCTTGCACTGTGTAATTGTGAGTGAGCAGCCTGGCCTCTCTAAGAGGTTGCTTACTATGTTCAAAATGCCAGTGGCATCCTGGTGCCGCTGTGTGGGTTCGCCATGGGTTAGTGGAGAGGGAATGCCGACTGTCCCTGGCCTCTGGTCTCCTGACTGTCTATATTGTAATCTGAACCTTAGGTCTGTTGTGCCGTGACTTAACAGGAGAAACCTGGAGACAGGAAGGGGTTGTTTACAGCTGAGGTCAGAATTCATGGTTTCCTTCCATCTTCCTTGTTATTTTGTAGAAAGAGGAAACAAAACCCAGGAAATGAACCTGTGTAGATTTAGCTGCAAGTTGCTATGGCAGTGAGGACTCTTTTCCTAGGGTGAATGGGGAATTTAATTGACCTTAGGACCCCCTATGTGTTCTCACCCCAGGCTGAAATTTCTTGGAGACAGTTTTGTTTGTGGGGTTCATTTTTTTAGGGTCCTTGTTTCACTGATATGGTATCTGTACCTCTTTGCCAAGGACCTTACTTACAGTAGCAGTTGAAAGCTGCTCTGTCTCATAGGAAATGTGGGGGGAATTCCATACCCCTGGAGCAGTCTCCTCCAGTGGCTGATGGGAGATACAAGGAAACTCCCTGGGCTACTCTTGTCTGGGTAGCAGAATTGGATGAGATTCTCATCATTAAGGGCTCTGTGCCCACAGGAATGCAATAGGTGGCACACCCTGCTTGCCCAGTGTCCTTCCCCTGTCACTTCCCTGTCCCGTTAGCCACATGGCCCTGTATTATTGCCCAATTCAGCTGTCCACACCCAGATCTTTCTCTGGGGAACACTTCTAGGGCCCAGCAAACCTTGTGTTCCCCCCACCCCCACTTGTGTGTGCTCTGGACTCTGCACTGAAGGTTTCTCTCTCTCACTGGCATCCTTCCAGCTCTCACCAGGCCCCTGCCTGTTTCCTCCTCTACACCTTGCATCTTCCTTGTATTTAGCTTCCTTGCTAAATATCCTGAGAGCAATGCCTGGGGGCAGTCTCAAAAGAGCCCAAAGTACTCTGAAGGCTTTTAGAACAACAATTAGAAGGGTGGGAAGCTTCCATTCATTATCTGTTGGACCCCAGCCTGGTTTGGAGGGGCTCAGGTCAGCCCCTATGGGCAGAGCCTGAGATGGTGACCCATGTACAACAGTTATATTAGTGGAAGGCTATGCCAATAGAGTTAGAGGGGAGCATTGGTTTCACCTGCAGGCCAGAGGTTGGTTTATTTTCACTCACGGGCTGGGGCCCATGGAGCTTTCTGGGAAAGGCTGTTTTCTGTAGAGGGGCTGTGCTATCAGTCATTGCTCAGAGCTGGGAAAGGCCTCCCTGCAGATACTTAGCCCTGTTTCATAAAAGGATGCCCGTCCTAGGAGACTTCAAAAGCTTGCCTGCCTCAGAACACACGCATTCAGTTAGTCATTTAGCCTCAGCATGGCTGGCTAAAGCCGCCCCCTCAGTGAAAGACCATCCTGTGCTGTCAGAGTCCTCTGTAGCTTCCAGCCCTTGTTTGGTCCCCTTTCCTCTCATGCACTCGCCATCCAGGGGGCAATCTGTGAAGGTAACTGAAGGGAAATGGCAAAATAAACCAAGCCTCAGTTTACTCTTCTGACCTGCTCTCCTGAAGATGTGGAATGCCCACTCCAAGATGTCCTCCCTGGCAGCTGCGGCTGATCCTTTTGTCATTCCCAGTGTGATCACAGCTGTGGGCGCCCATCCCTGGGCTCGCTTAGGATGGGAGGGAAGGATTTAGGCAGCTCAACCTGTAATGAACATTCTTTCCCGCCACAACAGAATCTTCTGGAAATCCAGACCTACATTGGCATCCTGCAACAGATCATCCAGACTGCTCCTCAAGTGTCCCTGGTTACTGGTGGAATGAGGGAGGTAAGACTTGGAGCCATGGCTGCAGGGAGAGCTGTCCAGTCCCTGGGGAGGCCACACTCACATTCTTGTGGATCGAGTAGATCTCAGAGGTTCAGGAGCAAGCACTGGGTCAGACTGCTAGAACCACAGTAAGTTAACCCCTACTTCTGAGTGATGTTCAGGTTTGAGGTTTATTCTTATATTGTTTGTTGCAACTGTAAATGCTGATAGAGTTGAGAGGACATAAACTATATCCCTTAACATTACCTTAGGTATTTTCTCCTAGGGAGTGTGTTCTGTTCTCTCTTGCATACTTTATAAGTGACTGCTGAGCTGGTATTCAAAATGGTGTGCTGTATTAGTCACTTTTCTATTGCCAATGACACAATAATAGCCTGGGCAAGCTAGGAAGAAAAGAGGATTGCTTTGACTTATGGTGCTGGAGATGTAGGGTCAAGGGGCTTTCATCTAGCTACTGTGTTTTTGCTGGCAGTGTCCAGAGGTAGTGCAGAGCACAAGGCAACAAGTGCTGTGTGTGTGTGTGTGTGTGTGTGTGTGTGTATGTGTGTCCATCCATGTGCCCTTTGATTTCTCGCTTCTCATAAAGCTAACAGGACTCATCAAGGGAATGATGACCTTATGCAACCCTAATTACTTTCTAATGGCCCCTTCATTGTCTTGACTAAGCTCCCCCCCTTTTTTTTTTTGAGACAGTCTTGCTCTGTAATCCCAGCTGGCCTGAAACTTTTCCTTCCTCGGCCTCCCGAGTGTTGGGTTTATAGGGGTGTGCTTCCATCTTCTCAGTGCTCACAAATGGTATTAAAATCCAGCACGAATGCTCAGAGGGCACAAGCCATATTTCTGTTGTACCAGGCCAGTGTTGCATTCCATCTACTTATGAATGAGTTCCTGTTTTGCATTCCTGTCAGTGCTAGCTATCTCAACCATTGCTTTGCTTCTTGTTTTACTTCTCTGCTAGGTATCCACTGCACCTGGTGTGCATCCTTCAGTAACTAATGATGTTAAGCATCATTGTGTATGTTAATTTACTATTCATGGGTGTTCTTTGTATATGTCCACCTCTTTTGCCTATTCCCAAAGTAGGCATGTGCAAAAGCCTGTTTGTATTACTATAATGCAATGCCACAGGCTGAATAATTTATTAAGTACAGAAACTAGTTTTTCTCATAGTCTGGAGTCTGGGAAATTCAAGTTCAAAGCTCTGGTTTCTGGTTAGGGGCTATCTTGGGCTACCTTGGTGGCAGTTGGAAAGGGCAAAAAGGGATAAGTTCCTAGTCCTTGCTGTCAGAAGAAGAAAAGTAGGAGAAGCCACTCCTACAAGCTTGTTGACATAGGCTCAAGTCCATTCCTGAGGACAGAGAACCTACACCTAGGCCCTAGCTCTGAACTCTACTCTGCGGGGGATTCATCTGGGGGACATACAAATAGTAGCAGGCTGTTTGTTTTCTTATTCTTCTTAGCAGTTTGGTCATAAAATTGAAACTTCAGGACATTTAATGAATACATGGGTCAGCTCTCTTCATGACTGTGTGAGCCTATGGCATGTGCAAGAGATGTAAAATCCTGTTCCCAGCCTAAAATGCCCATTTCCTTTTTTAGTTAGTTCTCCAGTTACTTGGCAGGAGGGTGGGCATTTTTGTACATGTAAACATAGACAAAGGGATGCAAAGTAAAATGAAAATGTGGGCTGGATGTGCAAGCTCAGTGGTTGAGGGTGTGCTTGGAATGGTCAAGGCCTGGGTTTGGCCCTTGGCACCAAATATAATGAAAGAAATAAAATGCTACCATGTCCTTCCCTGGTGGTTAGGGTGGTCTGGCCAAAGTTTGGTAGACTGATTAGATTCCAGAAGCGGTTTTTGTTGTTTGTTTTGTTTTTTAAGGATGACCTAAGACAGTGATTCTCAGCCCTTTGCAGTTTCCTAGAAGTGTGCTCAAGCCATGCCCCAAAGCAGTGACTGGACTACTCAGAGCAGAACTGTGTTTGGGGTATGCAGGGAGCAGACAGATTGCAGAACCAGAGTGATAGGCTTGCTGTATGCTTTAAGTGTTTTAATTTTAACTTAATTAAAAACAAAGCAAAACAAACCTAAACCCTCAAGGCTGAAAGATCCCTGCCTCCAATGCCTTTGATAATGGCAGTTGCACTCATGAACTTACAGCATCCCTCATTAGCTGCATAGGGTCTGCACAAGACTGTGCTCATCAACATAGTCATGGGGAAAGTAGAGTTCATGGGGTCTAACCTTTCCCTAAGAGCTATTGACTATTGATGGCCGTGGAGGGGGATACTTATTGTCATCAGAGTGGTGTCCACCTATGCACTGCAAAAAGAGGCACTGTTTTTTGTGAATCTTAGCTCAAGAGTTCTGCACACTGGCTAGTTATGTAGACAGTGGCTGATTAGTTAGGTAGACACTGGCTAGTTAGGTAGATACTAAGTAGACACTAGTTAGGTAGACACTGGCTAGTTAAGTGGTCACTAGTTAGTTAGGTAGACACTAGCTAGTTAGTTAGGTAGACACTGGTTAGTTAGGTAGACACTGGCTAGTTATGTAGATACAGGTTTGTTTCATTAACTCTTATTTTTTTCCTCTGGAAATTTATAGAAGTCACCTTTGCACAAATGGACATTATTAGGGTTTGAACATGATATGTCTCTTACAGGCTCATGTGTTTGAATACTTGGTCCTTAGTTGGCAGCTTTCTTTTGGGAGCTGTGGTAGTTTGAATGTAATTGACCCCCATAATCTCATAGGGAGTGACACTATTAGGAAGTATGGCCTTGTTGTAGTAGTTGTGGCCTTGTTGGAGGAAGTGTGTCATTGTGGGGGTAGGCTTTGAGGTCTCTTATGCTCAAGCTACTCCCAGTGAGGCAGACCACTTCCTGTTGCCTGAAAGATGTAGGAATCTCAACTACTTCTCCAATACCACATCTGCCTGTACACTGCCATGTCCCACTACAATGATAATGGACTGAACCTCTGAACTGTAAGCTACCCCATTTAAGTGTTTTCCTTTATAAGAGTTGTGTGGTCATGGTGTCTCTTCACAGCAATGGAAACCCTAAGACAGGAGCTTATGGAGTCTTTAGGAGGTGGAGCCTAGCTAGGGGAAGTGGGCCAGGCCTTAAGGGGTTCAGTCTGTGGTTAGTGGGCCCTCTTGCTGTGAGCCTGTGGCAGTACAGTGCATCATGGCAGGAGCAGGAAGAGAGAGAAAAAGGGGGCCTGGGATCCAGCATCTCCTTCAAGGCAATAACATCCACCACCTAACTTCTTCCCACTAGGGCTCCCTTCTAAAGGTTTTACCCTCTCCATGGCTCGCTAGTGACCAAGCCTTCAACACATGAATCTTTGATATCCACACCATCACCCCTTGTGATGTGTCTGTGAGCAGGGGCTGCCTTCTGTAGACTCCACTTTGAGTTGATGGGGCTTTGGGGGTGTGTCCTCTAAGGCAGGGTTCCTGAACAGTCAACCTTTGTGAATCAATAAGTGGAGAGGCAAGTCAGGACAGATTGTGGACAGGTTGGAAGGGGGGGTTCCTTCCAGACTTCTGGATCATCCACAGGCAGCAGCCTCATCAGGGTTTGACTTCCCTTTCACCTTTTGGGGCCAGATGACTCCTGCCTGGTACTGTGGCATAGCTCATGGCTCAGAGCACAAAATGATTTTCATCTTTATAGGCACAGAACCCGGAGCCAAATGAGCATCTGCATTCCACCGTTTTCTTTTCACAAAAGGGAAAATGGAGGCTTTGAAAGTCAAATGTCTGTCTGGCTAGCCAGTATGTGGCACAAAGAGGCCTATACTTGGGTCTCTTGATCTTTGTTGTCTGGGCTTTACTCTTGAGTAGTTAATGGTTCAGACAGTGGCCACTGTAGGCCTGTTGGAGTCAGCCTGGGCTATTGTTACAGAACCCTTTAGTTTATTGCTCACAGCTCTGGAGGCTGGGACTCCAAGATCAAGTTGCCAGCAGAGTTGGCACCTGTTGTAGGCTCTCCCTCGATGCGTGCCCACATGATGGTGGGTGGGAGGGTGAGACTCCTGTTAACTCTTCCTTTTCTCATAAGTTCTAGCTCCTAATGAAGCTCCAGGTCCATGACCCCATCTGACCCTAACCACCTTCTAAAGGTTCCCACTCACCAATTTCTTGGCAAATCAGGCATTGGCATGTGAACTTGGGGGATACAAAGAAGGGGGATGCCCTTTCCCCTTTGCATTTCTTCCTTGTATGAATCTGCATCTGGTCTCCTCATGCAGGAGAAGCTGCTGACAGAACGGGAAGTGGCTGCCCTGCGGAGCCAGCTGGAGGAGGGCAAGGAGGCACTTACTCACCTACAGGCACAGAAGGCTGAGCTGCAGACCCAGGTATGTTCCACATTGCCATCAGGGGCTTCTACGCATTTTATTGAAGTGGAACATGTGGGTATAGGTATCCATTTCTGTGATTGTTACAGACTCAACACACCTGTGTGCCCTGCACTGTCACATTCTGAGCAGGTGACCAAATGCCTTGCTTTGCCCTGGACTGAGGCTTCCCAGCATGAATATTTTAGCACTTGGCTAAGAAGAATCCTGGGGAGATGGAGATAGGAACATATGGACACCCAGGTTCATGGTATTCTCCTGTCTCCATCAAGTCATACATACCCTTTCCTACCAAGGGCAACAACCCACATTCACTCAAGTCTGGGCATTCCTGTTTCTCCTCTCCCAATGGTCTCTCCTTTGGAATTGGTGATGATGGTCCAAGAAGAATGCCTGCATGGTGGTAGGCGGGTGGGCTGTACCAGTGTTTGCCTTTCATTAGACATCTGCTAGCAGGAGGCTCATGTGTCTGTTTCTTTTACAGCTCATAGTCTTGATTCCTTCACACTTTCTTTCTTGTTTCCATGCAGATGGGCAAAGCAATGGGGAATGTCAGGTTTAAATCCCGCACTTCCTACAGCTGGGTAACCACATGTCCCAAATGTCAATTGGCATTTAGTAGGCAAGTACACCCAAGGGACAAAAGAGAGTAAGATCTAAAATTCTGACTATCAAACTTGGGACGTCTAGATTGACACACACACACAGGCCCTGCCTTCCTGCCCACTGCATCAGGAAAAACTGAAAACTTTTCCTGGATTCACATTTTACCTCAGTCTCTGACATCCTGTTTTCTATTCCCACTCACAAAGTTCTCACTGTGCAGCATTCCCAGGGGCCACTGGAAAGCAGCCAGGGACAGTGGTTGTCCCTAGCTGAAGGTCACAGGGGAGAAATTGAGTCGTGACCTTAAAATGCATTCTCCTTAGGACATAACCAGAGCACAGGAAGCAGATACTTTTTGGAGACTGTGATTTTCTCTGAGAACCTGAAAGGAGAGAGAAGGGAGGAGAGAAGTGGGGAGGGGAGAAGGGAGAGACAAGGAAATGTTTATGTAGACAATGGGTGTGTTGTATGTGTATGTGTGGAATGTATACATGGTATGTGTGGTGTATGTGGTATATGTGTATATAGGGTCTGTGTGTAATGCGAGAGTATGTGTGATGTGAATGTATTTGCTGTGTAAGTGTGCAGAGTATAGTGTAACGTATGTGTGATATGTACATTGTATATGCAGGTACGTGAAGGGTATGTGTGGTGTGCTTATGTGGCATGGTGTTTGAAGTCTATATATATGTGTATGCCAGATGAGTGTTATCAGGTATATGTGTGGCACGTGCATGTGACTTTTATATGAAGTGTGTGATATATCTATTTAGGGCGTATGCACATGTATGTGGGATGTGTGTATTGTATGTGTGCTTTACATGTGACTGAGGAAGTGAATATAGGCTCAGTCATGGTTCTGGAAACTGTGGTTTTCAAACTGTTAGTTGCTATGCATTGGGTATAAAATGAATTCAGTAGAATTGACTGGTATAAAAAAAATGAAGAAAACAACAACATGGAACTCAGAATAAGAAGGAACAGAACGTATGGGAGTTAAACGTGGAGAGTTTATTTGGGGAAACCTTTGTCTTAAATATATGTGTATATATTTGACTACATATGCATCTGTTCAAATACACACATATGATGTGTCTTCACAGTGTGAAATATGTCACTTTCCATGGCCACGGTGGCAAAATTAAAAACCACAGCCCTAGGTACTAACAATATGTAAATAGAAAATTCTAGTTCTTGGGGCAAAACTTCTTTCTTTGTGCACACATATGTTTTTGATGACTATAAAATGTGATATGTATATGGAGTATGTGATATGTCTATGTAGTGTATATGTGTATGTGTGTGCAATGTATGTATTGTGCATGTGTGGTATGTGTGACTCAGGTGCAAGTCAGTCATGGTCCTGAAAACCCCATGGTTTTCAAACTGTTAGTTATAGTTCATTGGGTGTGAAATAACAGGATTAGCCTGGTTTCTGGAACAGGAGGTAGAACTTTCGGGTCATGCCCTGTTCTCGCCTTCTTCCATTCCTAAGACTTACAAGTTTATCTGTGTCTAAGGCTCTCACATTTCCGTCTAGGTCCTCCTCCCTTCCCCTAGACTTTGGTAGTCTGGCAAGACTGGTGGACTCCTACTCAGAAAATGTTAAAGGCAACAATATATATTAATTGTTAAAAGCAAGCCAATTATATAAAGATTGTTGTCAGAAAATAACCTATCTGTGTTATACACCTATCAGTGTGTGACTCGAGGGGTCATGTTTTGATGAGTCCATGGCAAGTTGAAATAGCCTGAGGTGGAAGTAGGTTTCCTATGGCCCACCTATCTATTGCGCATCCTGACCTAACATCACAGCACCCTAGAGACTCTCTGGTGTGTCCTCTCATAGCCGACTGACTCAGCTGTGGCTTGCTGCCACCACTCTGCTCTGCGAGATGGCAAAGTGCAAAACCAGAAGTATGGCCTCTTCGGAGGCACACTGCTTTCACACTGCAGTAAAGTGGGCCAACATAAGCCTGAGACTGTCTGCAAGTGCTGTTCAGTCGTTTGTCAGTATCCGAGGGGATTGGTCTTCACATCCCCACAGATCCTGAAATTCATGCACGCACAAGTCTCTGAAGTGTTGTGTATATAACCCATGCAATTCTCCCAGATGCTTCAGCTCAACTCTAGAAACTTACAACACCCAGTCTAGTATGGATGCAGTATAAGTAGTTTTATCTTTTATTACTCAGAGAATAACAAAATGGCTGTATATACTCAGCGGAGGCACAATTAAAATTATTTTCAATCTCCAATTGGCCAAGTCCATTGAACTCCTCAGATACAAGGGAGTGCAGTAACAATCTACTGAAGGTTTGCTGCCTTCACAAAGTTGCCACAACCCTGGTGCATGAAGTGACTCTTGCATATGTTCTCGCTGTTCTGTAAGTCAGACAGAGGGGCAAGCATGGCTGGTCCCTCTGTTCTGGGTCTCCCAAGAGGAAGTGAAGGGGTGGGTGCACCTGGGCCCCAGCTGGAGGACCTTATGGAGAACTAGTTTCCAGTGTCATTCATCAGTCATGTTGTTGGTGACATCACTTCTGCCAGCCTGTCGTAGGGAGGACCCCGTTTCCTTGTTGGCTTTGGCCATAGAGGCTGTGTGTTCCTTGGCCCAAGGCTGTACCATCTTCAAAACCAGCAGCTGTGCATACAGTCCTCCACTGTCTAGTCCCCTGGCTCTAACTTCACTTACCTGGCTCCTGCCTCTTGTATGGGCTTATGTGATTAGGATTAATTTAAATACCTTACTTTTAAAGAAAGATTAATTAAGAGTCTTAACACGTATAAAGTCTGCTGCCAAGTAGCATATTCATGGTTTAACATTTGGGGAACAAAGTTCACAGAGACCATGATCTTGTCTAATTAGCTCTTATTGAAAACAATAGTTTCTGATAGTCACTGAGTATAACAATAGACACTGGGTGGGTGTGTATCATGAATTTGCAGGTTTCCAGGTGTTGCTGATGATCCTGCTTCAGGAACCATGTTTTGAGAACCACGGGTGTAAATATGGGAGGTGTCGGGTGTGGTGGGTGTGGGGGGTGGGTTGGGGTAGATCAGAATGTTCCCTGACTGGTCTTGTGAGTTCCAGGCTTGCTCCCTCTACAATGTCATTCAAAATGGTCATCTTTGGAGTTCTGCTGGTTTAAGAGCCTTTGTGCTTCCTCATGAGTAGCTGACCTCTAAGGGAGATTTGTTCCTGTAGCCTTTTTAGCCAAGCCAAGGCTAGGACTAGGGACAGGGCATTTGGCAGGACTGCGGCAGTTGGTTTTATCTATGGTTATAGAGTTGATGCTTTCAGAATGCTCCATGGTTGGGGTCTTCAGGGTAAAAGGTCCCTGGTCCAGCAGCATCAGCATCATCTGGGAATTTGTTGGAAATGCAAACTCCTATGCACATCCAGACCAACCTTGGCCTGTTTTAATCCGTTTTAGCAAGTACTCCAGTTGATCCCACAGGCATTTGAGAGACTCTAGACGTAGCATAAAAGAACAGAGCCTGAGATCGGAGCTGGGGGGCCCTTCCTTCAAGCTGCCCAAGTCCCCTGGAGATGTTACTTCTTCAAGGTGGAGGAGGAATGTCAGGCAATTCCATGTCTGGAGGGTACCTGAAAACAGTTTTATTGATTGCCCAAGCTGATACACCCTGGCCTGTTTTTCATTAAGGCTCTCATCACCATCTAGTGGTGAGATTTGGAAGCCAGCGGCTCAATCAGTGCGGAACAGGTTTCTTCACTTCCCTTAAACAAAACAAAACACCATATTTATTTGCTGGTTTTATATGTGTGCATGTGTTCGTGCCGTGCGATTGTGTGTGTATGTGTGGAATTCAAAGGACAACTCTCAGAAGTTGATTCTCTTTCTTTTATCATATGAGGTCCCGGGGCTCAGACTCACAACGTCAGGCTTGGTAACAAGCACCCTTACTCCAAAGCCATCTAACTGGCTGTACGATTAATATCATTGCTTTATATAAATCAACCCATTTATTGTTAGATGTTTCAAACAGCAATGCTTCTATCGGTCTTTTAGTTCCTTCTGTCCTCTGGTGGCTTACTTGACTGTGACAGCAGAAGTGATGTGGTAGGGTCTAGGCCCTGCCAGCCATTGTTTTCCCCCAGTGCCAGATGCCTGTGGCCCATATCTTCATCCTGGTTTTGTTACAGAAGGAACAATACTGATTTCAATTTTCTTCACCATTTTCTAGAGGGAGACACCATAGCTGGTCCCTCATTCACCAACAGTTATGATCTTCTTGGTGCATTAAGTCATGCCATTGTGATCTAAGGCTGACCCACGAGAGCCTCTTCCCCCTTAGAAATAAAGGTCTTACACCTGAAGACATTCTGGTCCTTAGGGCTAGGGCTGGCGTCCACTGCGCCGATGGGGCGTGTTGTCCAGTTCCTGCATGGGCAGAAACTTCAGTGTGGCTCATGCCCTCCACCTGCCTCTCTCTCCTGGGCCTTAGATGCACCCTCCAGGGAGCCCTGGCCACTCTTCTTTTCTTCAGATTCCTTCTGTGGCACTTGCTTTTTAGGAATACTTTCTTTCTGGAACCCTCTTTCCCTTTTCAGTGCCAGGGACAGGTGTTTGAGGTGCAGCTGGTCATTCAGCACCAGCCGCTGAATCACCTGCAGAATTCTGTGTCTCCTTCTCTGATAGCCTGGTTAGTGATGACTGGCTCCCAGAACAGTGCAGAGAGAGATGTGCTTGCTAAGCGGCTCCCCTTAGCCACAGCCACGCCTGTGAAAGTGAAGCAATTCTTTTAAAATGTTCCTTATTCTGATGCTTAGTTTCTGTTACTGAGTTATGAAAACCACACTGGTATAGACAGGAGTCTAGATTCATATACAGATGTCACATCCTTGGACACCAGGGAAGCTGGATGTGTGAATTGGAAGAATCCTGTGGAGTATTAGCTGCCTATTAAGGCTGGAAGGTGGCTTAGACATGTGACATGGACATCATGCCACCCGAGGACATAGTCTCTAAAACATGCATACTTCTTTAAATGAACAACCAACCAGCAACTGTCTGCCACCAGGACAAAAATAGCAAACCATCAAATTATCAATTATAGAAAGAGATCAGACTTGTTCTGTGGGGTAGGAGACTATGGAGGTCTTTCCAAGTCTCTAACTTCATTCTTGTGACAACCCTTTGCTATTGGGCTTACAGTTTAGAAATTTTCTCAATGAAAACACTCAAGGAAATCTCTGCATGTGGTCACATTGAGTCCCATGTGTATTCTGTGAAGGGAGCTGGTGTGCCTGACTGGTAATAGATGGCAGTGTACCAGAGTCCTGGAGTGGACACACATACACTCTTCCTTCCTTCCTTCCTTCCTTCCTTCCTTCCTTCCTTCCTTCCGGCCAGCTGTCAATACTCTAGTGTTTCAGGGTTACAAAGTGTGTGGCAGGAACTAAGGGCTGGGTAGACCCTCCAGAGATGATGCTTCTGGGGACCTACTTCCTCCAGCTGGGTTTCATGTATGAAATGTTTCACAGCTTCTGAACAGAGTACTGCAGTGTGGGACCAAGCATTCAAATTCAAAACACGAGTCTGTGAGGAGCATTTCCTTTCTTTTCTTCCTCTCCCCCCCCACCCCCAGTGTGTGTGTGTGTGTGTGTGTGTGTGTGTGTGTGTGTATGCACACACCTGCTGCCCACTGCTCACCTGTAGCCGGGAAGATGATGGGATAGGGAGGCCACAGTTTCAGGAAGTGTCTCTCAGTCTATACAGTTGTGTTTGCCTTGTGCTGTAGTGTTGATGGGAAGCCACTTCACTGGTATGACTCAGTAGCAAGGGAATAAAAGCAGCTCTTCCTTGACGAGGCTGTAATGAACTTGGTGAGTTGATCCATTACTAAGATAAGAACTTTACTACAAACCAGGGTTCCCATTCTAGACAGGGAAGCCATACCCAAAGAGGACATGGGTTCTTTCATACCTCATTTTTTTCTTCTGTCCTTGATTGAGGAACATTTCAGACATGTGCAAAAAGATGAACAAGCATGCTCTCATGCTTTGTTTCTCTGTCCCCCGACACATGGCCACACACATCCCCTTGATGTCACTGTGTAGCAGCTCTGAGATTCAAGCCCCAGAGGGGTCTTAAAATCCCCTTGTTTCTTGAAAGCATTTTCCGGTGTATGTGACCTCTGTGTATGGGCAAGAGTATGTGGCTGCCCCAGTAGGTGGCAGGTGTGATTTGGAATTTGACATTCTGGTGACTGTTGGATGGAGATTGATTTTGGAGGAGTAGAAACCTGTGGCGACTGGCCTAAACAGGAAACTACAAGATTGAGATTTCTGCCATGTCCTGTAATCCTCTGTCCCAGCCTCCTCCAATGTTTTATAACCACAGAGGACAATGAGGAAACCCAGTAAATTCACAGGGATGCTGCACTTCCAGACTGCTGACAGTACCTGTGTTGAGGCTCTCCCTGTGCCTCCTGAGCGCCTGCTGTGACGGACAGTGTCTTAGTGTGTATGCCTTGCTGACTGTGATGATTTGAAGAGTTCTGAGGACCAGCCCTTCCCTCCATTTGGGTTTCCTGGATGTATTGTCAGGATCTGATTGAGGGTCCTTGAGCCTGTGAGAAGTTCCATTGCTACTGACGGTGGTGACATCGATGACTTGGTTAAATGACTCATGCTGCGTTCCCCACTGGAAGGCCTCCCCACCCCCCAAAGGAACTGGTTATAACAGGAAGCTTATGAAATTTGAGAGCAGGTGTGCCGCAGGGACCAGGGACCAGTATGCAAGGTACCAGTTCACCATCTCCCTCCTTCCTCTTCCTTCTCTTGGCACAGGCTCCTACGTCTCCACTTGTCTCCCCTCTTTGGTTTCATTTTCTCTGTCTGAAGACATCTCTCTCTCAGCTTCTCCATGTACATTACACAGATCACTGCTTCAGAACGGCAGCCTCAGGCCCCCACTTGCATGTCCTCGAAGTAGTCTGGAACCTGCCTCCATTTCACTGCTTTTGAGATACCACTCTCTGCAGCCCCAGGGGAGAAGGCACATGGTGGGCTCCCCCAAGTGGCTTTAACTCTGGTTCCAAGCTCTCTCTATATTGCAGGGTGGAGGCAGGCAGATCCCAAGAGTTTGCTAGCCAGCTAGCCTCACCAAAATGATGAGTTTCTGGTTCAGTGCGAGATGCTTCTCAAGATAATGAGGTAATGAATGATGGAGGAAGACACCTGCTATCCTGTTCTGGCCTTAGTGTATGTGTATGGGTCTACACACCCACACACTCAGCACAGACACCATACCTTGTACCTCACCCACCCCACACATATACACATCCAACATACATACCCCTCCACATACACATCACACACACCATACACATACACACATCACAATACACATGTATGCCATACACTCACATCCATGTACATATAGACACATGTACATACTCTTCACATATACACCCATACACACAGACAAGTATCGCACACACATTAGTACACCACAGACATATCACACATCCTCACACCACACATACATATCCGCACCTCACAACACCACACACGATACATATACATACAAATACCCTTCCCAAACCACACATGCACATTCATAAAAGGGTTCAATCCATATACCTGCTCCTTTGTCCATCCATCTTTCTGATGCAATGGGTCTTTCCCTAAATACCATTATAAGCCAGATTTCCAAATATTACTGATGATGAAGAGTCCAGTTGTCTTAGCAAGATTGTCACCAGACTATAAGCGCACTTAGGCTTGGATTCAGGAAGCACCATGAAGTGCACAAGTTGGATACTTGGAGTTGGATAGAGACATCTGTCTAGCCCTCTGTAACTTCAGGCATGATTCATGGACCATGACCATCAGCATCCTATGGGTGCTGGTTAGAAGTGTAGTTTGCTAGCTCCACCCCCTATAGTCAGAATCTCTGTAGTCCCATGCCTGACAACACTAATGCATGGAACAGTTTGAGAAGTGTTGCTCTTGGTAGAAGCAGTAGTTTTGTTTAATTTTTTTAAGGTCCATGCATGCCAAATCATTTTCTTCTTGAGATGAGATTTTAACAGTCTTATTGCATAGAGTAAAACTTGTCACTAAGTTCATATATAGGCCGTTCACATTCCCAGAAGCTCTTGAGAGTAATGTAAAATGACCTTTTTCTGTATTCCCACCACATCTTTAAATTTTATGGTGTGTGTGTGTGTGTGTGTGTGTGTGTGTGTGTGTGTGTGTGTGTGTGTGTGTGTGTTATAGACATGTTGTGTGTGTGTGTGTGTGAGGCATAGGTGCCTGTGGGCATGCACAGGGAAGCCAGAAATGGATGTCAAGTATCCCTTTCTTGACCTCTTTCTTTGAGACAGGGTCTCCCACCTGTACTTCAGGTAGGCTGGCTAGCCAGCAAGCTCTCAGGATCTTCCTGTGTCTTATCCCCCTGACACTGAGCTTACCAGTATGTGGGGCCATGCCTGGCTTTTGCATGGATGCTGGAGATTTGAACCCAGGTCCTCTTGCTTGCTCGGCAAGCACTTATACTCACTGAGCCATCTTGCCAGTCCCCACATTAACTTTTATCTGGAGAGAAGATGTGGTGAGTTTCATGCAGTTTGTGTTTGTCCACAGACAACATCCCTTGAACAAGCCATTAAGCATGCTCATGAGTGTTATGATGATGAGATACAGCTTTACAACGAACAGATCGAAAGCCTACGGAAGGAGATAGAGGAGGCCGAGCGGTCTCTGGAGAGGTCGTCCTATGACTGCAGGCAGCTGGCTGTGGCCCAGCAGACACTGAGGAATGAGCTAGACCGGTATCAGCGGATCATTGAGATTGAAGGCAACAGGTATGGTCATGTATCTGTATGCTTGGCTACATGCCCATTCTACAAATCTTTGTTGAGTGCCCATTGTATGCTAGGTACAGTTAGAAGGACTGGTGATGTGGTGGGCAAGGAAACTCAACCACATCTGACTTGAAGATGGGTGACTCTGTAGGAGAGGGAGTGTGACAGAACACTAGAGGAGATTTGGGCAGAGAGAATGGGAGGGGTGGTGGGGATGGCGGCAGGCATGCCTGCTATTTTGTGTATGTTGACCAGAAACAGCCACATTTAGGGGGCTGCTTTGTGCCTCCTGGGAAGGGATGGTCTGGCAGGTGAGATCATGGGTTTGTGCCTCCTCTGCTGCATGGCACTGAGGAATGGCTCGAGCTGCTGCTATTGCTGATAGTGCTACCCTTGTGATTACTGTCTGCACAATCAATTCAGGACTCTTCCATGAGAGAACTTTGATAACCACCCTCTCTACTGGAAATTTCCTCTCTCTCTCTATAGGCTATGTGGATAGCTGTCTTTAGATAAGCTTCAGAGAATAGGCCAGGCATGGAGTTGCAGCTCTTTAGCATCAGTCCTCCCACGTTTTTGGATTTAGGTGGAAGGAGTCTTGAAGTCCTTTTCCAAGGGCCTCACAGCAGAGTTCCTCCTGATCCCTGTTCTCTAGTTTGGCTGTGTGTGCCTGGCACAGACACATAGCAGGAAAGGCAAGCTTTTGTCTGTTCTCTCTCTAGCAAGAGCCATGTGTCCTGGGGCAGCTCCATGTCATACTTCTATATCTGTGGACACTTATCACACTCGTGAAAAGAACTCTAGAACTGCGCTTAGTGTCTTTTTGAGTTTTTATGTTAGGGAAAGGGCATCCCAAAAATTTAACGGTGTACTCCTTTGGTTGGCTTGTTAGTATCAATTTTGGAGTAGATTTAAAAAAAGATAAAAATGTTACAGAATGGAATAAGCTATTACTGAGCAGTCTACCTAGATCTATCTTACATCTTCAATTTTTTAAACAGTTTTATATTTGCACATTATTTAAAATGTTATGTATTATTTATCCTAGCTATTATTTTATGTCCTATATCCTATGTATTATATCCTATATATCATATGTCTGTATATTATATATGTGATACAGTATTTAGTATCATATATATATATATATATATATATATATATCCTGTATATTGTGCATCCTATATAGAATGTCTTGTTTGTCCTAAATATCACAGCCCAGATTGGCTATTCTGTAATGAAAAATGAAAGCCACAGACTCCATCTGTTGAAGAAATGATGCTTAGATTCTAAGTAATCACTGTAAAGTGCCCTTGGCCTTTTCATAGAATATGACTTGAGCTCAAAGACATGAGGGCATCTTTGGTGTCCTTGCTCAGTTTGTAAATGTCTATGTGGTTAACAGTTTGTGGCGTGCAATTCATGCACACTTCATCTAGAGAAAGCTCTCCCTCTACTTTCCATTTTTGCTCAAGATGCCAGACTCGATCTTGTTCCTCACTTTGTTTGTTTTGACTACTTAAAGATGGTACTACATTCTTTCTGCTTCTCCTGCCAGGTTGAGCTCTGCTTTTCTTGAGACCCCCGTCTCTCTGATCACTCCGAGCCATGGGGCCTCTCTCAGCCTTGGATCCAGTGTGAAAGGTAATGTGCACCTCAAACTCAGCCTCTGCCTGCCAACCCTGGCTTCCTTTGCCTTCCAACCCTGGCTTCCTCTGCTTTCGTCTTCTGTTTAGGCAAAAACAAGTGATTTCCATCCTGCTTGCCATCCATGATCCTTTCTGACCCATCTGGAAATTCTATGTGCACATATGTGTGGGGAGGTGCACATGGCTGTGTGTGTGTATTGTTCCTTAGGTGACACTCACTCTGTTTTGTTTTGCTTTGTTTTTGTGATAGGGTCTCACTATATAGCTCTGGCTGACCTTGAATTTGCAATGTAGACCAGGTTGGCCTCAAACTCTATGGAGATCTGCTTGCCTCTGCCTTCTGAGTGCTGGAATCAATGGTACACACCACCTTTATTTATTTGGACATTGTCTTTTATTGGCCTGAAACTTGACTACTAAGCCATCTGCCCACCCCTCATCTCCTAGCCCTGGATCACACACCACAACTCTTTTTTTTCCTCCTCTCATGGGTTCTGGGAGTTGAACTCAGGTTCTCATGTACGTGCAACAAGTCTTTTATAGACTGAACTACCTCCCTAGCCTAGAAATTGCTTTTATGTGACGGAGATTGCCTTCCCTCTCTCCTTGATCTGCTCCCTTGAATAGAATATGTAACTGAGTCAAGAAGTTATAAAGAGAAAAGTTTGTGGGGATAGCCCACCCAGGAATGCCAGCCTCAACATTAGACATTTAATGCAGAAGAAATACAGATACGTATCCATTTCTGAATTTGTTAGCATTGATTCTTTCCGCTCCAAATGAAGGGAATGGCAATCAAGGGATTATCACAATTAGGTTGGGACATTGTAGATAGATTCTGTCTCCAAACCTGAAGCCACCTGAACCTGACCTAGGCCCAGCAGCCTTGCCATGTGCTTCTTGAGAGAGAGAGAGAGAGAGAGAGAGAGAGAGAGAGAGAGAGAGATGGCTGTGTAGAGTGAGTTCCCACTGTATACTCTGGATCCAGGTGTCCTGCTGTGAGTACAGTAGGGGGCTGGAACTGAGACTGGAGTTAATTCTGCTTGTTGTCATGGTACAGTATTGCATGTCTCTCTGTGTTATTCCAGCTGAGGGTGAACTGTGAGTGCCAGGAAAAGGGGCACTTTTCCTTCCCTTTGGGGAACCCAGAGGGGTCATATGACTCATACAAAGTTTCCCAATTGGTTGAGCTGGGACCTCAACATGGATGAGAGATCTGTGGCTCTTTCCCCAATTGCTGGACACTTACTGTCACTACAGTTGTCATGTTTTTCAGTGAATGCCATCATTCTCTCTCATTAACACATTGTTGGCTTACTGCCTGTGTGTTTTTCCTTAGATCTCACCAGGGCTGTGCAGGATATCACAGCAGCCAAACCAAGACAAAAGGTCCTCCCCAAGAGCCTTCCAAAAAGAAAGGAGATTATAGCTCAAGACAAAGTGGATGAAACTCTGGAAGATGCACAATTAAAAACTCTGCAAGAGCCAAACCCAGTGCAGGTGGAACTTAAAGCGGACAGTGATTCTCAGCTGGGGCCAGGGGGTAGGCATGAAGTAAGTCCAATACAAGTAGGGGGTCCTGAGGATGTGCCAGATGGAGGCCAGATAAGCAAAGCCTTTGGGAAGCTATGCAAAGTAGTCAAAGAGAGAATGAGTGGCCCCAAAGAGCCTGTGCCAGAGCCACCCGCTGACCTCTTCACTAAAGGCCGACATATACTGGTCACAGGAGATGCCAGTTTTGTGGACCCTGAGTTCTACTCCTCCTCCATTCCAGCTAGGGGTGGAGTGGTGGTTTCCATTGAGGAAGACTCTATGCATCATGATGGCTATGTGGAGCCCTCACCTGGGCAGCCCATACCACCTGTGGAGAATGGAAAGGGGGTTCCCCAGGGCAGGGAAGGTGACCACTCAAACCAAAAGCAGGTTACAGATAAGAATGGGATAGGGGCCAAGGAACCAAAAGACCTGGAACAAAAAGGTGATGACTGCCAAAAGGAAGATGAGGGGCCCAGGAGACCCTGTCCCGTGATCATACCTGGTCCTGATGGACCACCTACATCCCATTCACCAACGTCTGGGTCCAATCAGGATGGACCAGAGGGGCCTGGGAATAAGAGCAGTAGCCTGTTGGCAAAAAGTCCTTCTAAGGCTTTAGCTTTTAAGAAGGTAGAGGTGGTGGAATCTATTGAGAAGATTTCAACAGAGAGTATTCAGACATACGAAGAAACCTCTGTCATTGTGGAAACCGTCATTGGGAAGACAAAGGCCAACAAGAAACCAGGAGAGAAGGGCTCTTAAAATGCCAGGGCTCAAAGGAAGGAACTCTCTGGGTTCAGTGTAGGTTAAGTACCTTGAGATGGGTTCCTGTTTGGATTAGATCATAGTTGACCAGTCTGGCATTGCCAATGACCTTCATTAAAATGCTTTTTTTTTGCTTGCACCATATTCCTTGTCTAATTAATAGGACCCTGGGTCAGCCATACTGAGAACAAGGATGCTCTCTCAATGGTCACCACACTTCCCTCTTTTAGGAAGGGACATGCTCTTCAGCATGCTTCATTATTTGTTTGTTTTTGGGACAGGGTCTATGCAACACAGTCTATCCTCGAGCTTTTGATCCTCCTGCCTCAGTCTCTGAAGTGTGGGGATTAGAGGCATGGGCCACCATACTGGAATCAGCATGCTGCCTATCGATTTATTAAGGTCTCAAATGGTGTCTGGGTTTCACACAGAAAAAAACTAGTTGATGACAATGGCTCATTCATTCCATTCCAAGCACAAGTGTATGTTCATGTGGCTGAGGGTTTTGTTAGACATAAATTGATGAGAAATTGTAAGTTTGGGATCCCTTAAAAGCCAGTCCTGAAGTAAATGTGTGTGTTTGAGTGCATGAGCATGTGTGTGAGTGTTCATGTGTGTGCTTGGGTGTATTTATGTATGTATGTATGTATGTATGTATGTATGTATGTATGTATGTATGCATGCATGCGGAGACCAGAGGACAATGTTGTTGTTGTTCAGGTGCTGTCTACCTTGTTTTTAGACAAGGCGTGTCAGGATTGGAGTTTACCAATCAGGCTAGCCTGGTTGGGCAGCAAGCTCCAGGGATCCACCTGTCCCTGCCTCCCCAGCATGCACATGCCTGGCTTTCCATGTAGTCTCTGGGTTTGAACTGAGGCTTGTGCTTGCATAACTGAGTCTTCCTCGAAGCCCTCACCCACCAAGCAAACATTTGAATGTACAAAGTTTCTTTGTAATATGACCTCAGGAAGAGCCAGGTGGGAAGTGGAAAGGGAGTCAAGACTGCCAAGGGGAAGGGTGCTGTTCTGTCTGTTTCCAGGCAGAGCCAGCAGATCTGAATTTCACTGAAGCAACTTTGGGGACAAGAATAGAGCACTAGTGCTATTGACTCATCACCTGCGGTCAGTCAGTGAGAGGTGGCTACTCCAAGTGTTAACTTTGGAGGCCAAGGATGTCCTCAGGAAAAGAGGTACACATGGTTTTTGGAATTCAGTCACAGAAATACATGGAAATGTCAAGGCTAAAGAGGATATAGGCAGAGCAATGAAGCTGTGTGCCACGATATAAACACCAAGTGTTCTTTTGTGTAAGATGCTTAAAACTTTTTCACCCAGCAAGTACAATTTTCGGTCATGTTTCCAAAGCAAATTCGCATGCTACTTTGTGAATTCTGGTTTAGAAGTTAGTGAAGCAGGGCCGGGGAGGAGTTATGCAAGCCTGAGCACCTGGGTTCAGATCCACAGTGCCATGCAAGAAGCTGGAAACAGTGGTGCACTCCTGTACTCCCAGTGCTGGGAAGCAGTGTGGGGATGGATGCAGCCTGAGTTCTGGGGCTCACTGGCCAGTCAGTCTAGCCAGGGGGTGAACTCCAGATTCAGCGAGAGAGCCTGTCTCCAGATAGTGTAGAGAAGCAACTGAAGAGGTCACCTACTTTCTCCTCTGCATGCATGCTCATCAACACAAATGTACACAAATATGCACACATACATGTTAGAAGCTAGTGAATTAGTCCAACAGGCACTTATTGAGTGAATACTACATGCCAGATACTATAAGGGGGAGATTTTTCAGATTTGTTATGATTTTCAAGTAATAGCATAGCCCTGCTACATTTGAGAATGTCTTTTGTACACACATATACACACCATACCACACACACACACACACACACACACACACACACACTCCACACATATACCCTTGCTATGCTAAATTGTATAAAATAGCAAGTATATCAGCCAAGGAAGTTTATAAAAAGTGTGTGTATGTGGCTGGGCATTGAACCCAGGACCTTATACCTGGCTAACTATACCCTCAGCCCACAGATATTTCTAAGCTGCCTGTATATATCTAGTATTCTATTAACAGTCTAGAAATAGGTTTCAACTTACAATGCTTAAAAAGTTGTTTCCTGACATGGATGCTCCAAAATACACAAGGGACCAAGTAAATGTGCTGAAGTGGATTGTTGTGTTGGTCTCAAAAGGGAAACAAGAGCCTGGCAAGACAGCCGCACACTGTGTGAGCAAACTGCCAGGGTCACACATGCCATTGTGGCACTGCTTTGTTAGGAACAACAGAAGAGGAACAACGCGTTGCCTTTCATCTTGAGGTAGAGCCTTAAACAGTCTCTCTCCCAATTCATTTGAGGCTTTGGTTTCAAGAAAGAAATATGCTTTTGTTGTTCTTTCTGAAAGATGAATGGAGAAGCCAGTCCATTCTGCAGTTTGAAATATTTATAACTTAAAAGCGTAAGAGAGAACGATGGGAGCCACTGACTGGACCCTGGGATGCAGGACTGTGGGCCCATGTTTCTATTATATTATATAAGACGTTCACAGCTGCTGAAAAGCCTTTCTTTTCCCCACTATGCTTTTTTTTTTATTGTCCAGGCTGTGTGTTCAGTGAATATTCTTATACAAAAAGGCAGGGGGTATCATTTTGAATTGAAAGGCCATTTTTATATTATATTTAATCAGCCAGGAAAAGTACCCTGGGAGTCTGTCCTGACAGGCTTTGTAAAGACTGTAGGGAGGGACCAGATGTGGCCCTGCTCCCCAACCCTGTTGTTCTGGTGTGGGGAAGAGGATGATACAGAAGCAGACAGATAGTACATGGGAAAATCAGGCAAGTGCAATGAGGGAAGTCAGTAAGGAGGGCTGCTGGAATGACTGGTAGCATCTACTTGGGATTGAATAGGAAAGAGAAGACCCTATGGGGAGTATGCCCATGATCTGAATGATCCTATGCAGATCTGAGGGAAGAGCATTCCAGGCACAGAGAATTTTAGGTGCAAAGGCCCTGGGGTGGGAATGAACTTGGCCTGTTGGGAGAGGAAAAATGAGAAGGGCTTCAGGGGAATATGATGGAAGGAGAAGAGGTCAGTGTGAGAGGCAGAGACCAGATGAGCACCATTTTCTGTTAGGCTGCCTTGGCCTGAAAGCCGGGACCATGGTGTGCACAGTGTCAGTGGGCACTTCAATGTATAACTGAGCTATTGGTTTCACTTACCCTGCAACCAGCCTCACTTGCTCGTCCTGTTGGGTCTGCCTTTGCTAGTTCTGTTTTTCCCTGGAAAGTAGCAGACTTGGTTTATTTTTTGGCCCTTCTCCTCCTTTTGTTTCAGCTCTCCAAACCTTTTGTTTCAGTTTCTCAAGAGGAAGAATGGGCACTCAGAAGCAGCCTCCCCATTGTGTCCACCACAGACAGGGTCTTCATCTTCTCTCCTCTCACTCTTTCTTGTGAGAAACCTATTCCAAACTTTTCTCTTTTCCCTGAGGAAGCTTCATGGCAGTTCCCACCCCAGTAAGGCCCCAAGTATCCCAGGTGACCCCATCATGGCTATTGCACCAGTATCTGCGTGCTTGGCTTAGGTTCCCTGTGGTACTGGTTTACATCTGCATCCAAAGGTCTCAAATCCATCTGTAGGCACATAGGACTTTCCATCTTAGGATATTCTAAGGCTTGTAGAGTGCTTGGTCCATACACTGAGAAGGCTGGGAGTTTTGTGGAGTTTATGCTCTGGGACAGCCTCAACCAAGGATGGATAGGACCCAGAGTGGAACCCTCTCCTTTTCTGGGACAATTGAGGCATATGCAACATAATCTCTTAGAGGTCCATGATGGGTCCCAATGCCCAGGAGGAAACCCACCATCAGCCACCCTATATTGGCCTCCTTACTTTCCTATTTTTCTTTTCTTCTCAACATAGATGGCCCTTTTCAACTATGCCAGTTGCTCCTGACCTCTACCTGTTCTTAGAGTTGACTTCTGGGAAAATCCATCCTAAGATGCTGATTGACACTGGCTGTTCTTCCCTTCCCAGCCACACTGGCTCTCCATAACCCATAATGAACTGCTTTTCCACTCTGGATACAGCCCCAATCATACTGTCAGTCAAGATATTCTGCCTTCACTGGCCTAGGGCTGAGTAGATTATCCAGTCTAGACCCATAAGGCACTCTCATTGAATCAGGCCAATGAACCCGAGACAGAACATGCTACAGCCTTCCTCTAATGGATGTGGTCTCATGAGGTCACTCGCTGATTCCTGCTCTGTATCCAGGTTCCTATACTTTCTGTGATCTCTGCCTTTTTGCTAGGATGATTTTGGCCAAATTCTTCCAGTGTTACTTTTGAGATTTACTTCACATTCTTTTTGTTTCATGAGCTAGAGTTGGCTTCTGTTGTGCAACCCCAATGTCCTAAAACTAACTACTAGTTAGTGTGAGTGTGGGTCAATAGAGAACCAGAGAGGCTTGGTTTCTGTTGTTTTTCACCAAAGCCAACCCTAAACAAGGTCTGGGCACTAGTGGCTTGCTAGAGCCAGCTCAGTGTGCTGACTCATGAACTCATGTCTCTTATTCCCAATCCTCTCTTCTCTGGGATCACCAGGATGGGTCTCTTCAAACAAACCTTGTTCTGGCATTGCCAGTTGTGTTTCTGGAAAGCAGTATTAGAGGGAGTCTTACGGTTTCTATTGCTGTGAAGACACACCGTGGCCAAGGCAACTCTTATAAAGGAAAACATTTAATTGTGGCTGGCTTATAGTTTCAGAGGTTTAGTCCATTGTCGTCATAGTGAGAAGCATGCAGGTAGACATGGTGCTGGAGAAGGAGCTGAGAGTTCCATATCTTGATCCACAGGTAGCAAAAGGAGACTGTGTGCCACACTGGGAGCAGCTTGAGCAAATAAGACCTCAAAGCCCACTTTCACAGTAACACACTTCCTCCAACAGGCCACACCTCCCAACAGTGCACTCACTATGGGCATTCAAACACATGACTCTATGGAGGCCATACTCATTCAAATCTCCACAGAGGGCAATGGGAAAGAGTGCAGGGATGCAAGAGGGAGAAAGGCCCACTCCTTGCTGTTTGTTTATGGTTACTGTCCACACCACCCTGGTAATGCTTCTGCTATTG